CGAAATGGACAATTTTTATCAAATACCAAGAAATAAGACAGTCGATTTTTAATTGTTTTTGGACTACTGGTAGGCAGTCAGTCCTTAATTATTAAATAATATAGGGCATTAAGTTTTAAGTAACATTTACCTATATTTGAGTTTAAAGTAAACAAATCTATTTTATTTTGTTCACTTTGTCTTATTTTTTTTATTTAATATTATTTCAGTTGCCATCGTCATCGCGTGAGTGTCCTGATTGCGAAGGATTGATAAAGCAGCAACACGTTAAACTTTAGAACGGGAACCATCTGAATCATCTAGTCCATCCTTGTAGCAATCTAAAGTGAGTAATGTATTGAACCTAGAACAACAAAGCTTAGATCATACATCATACAATATACTGCTGCCTAATTTTGTAAGAGCACCACTCACACAAAATCAATGTTTTTTCCTGGTTGTAACAATTCCAATCAACTCACTGTTCCATCAGCATACATACCCGCAGTATGTATTTTTGTGAATACAATTACTATGTACCTCCAGAATGTAGAATCAGTAACTACCATTTAAATAGTAACTCTTGGTATTTACTTTTAGAATTAATATATAACCATATTAAAACATTTAGTGTAGCACAAATTATAGATTTTTCTACATTATTGTAAGATAATATTTTCCATCATATAGACTTTGAAAATATTTACAATATGCCCGAATATACTGTACATTATTATCTACGCTTACCAAAGGCACAATGCCAATAAATTCTGTCTGAAGTGCCCAAAATGTCAAGTAAACATAGTGGATGCTTTGCACTTGCTGTATATTTGATAAAAGTAAGAACAGGAGATAGTTGATGAATGCATATAGGCATTATTGCAAGTACCAAGAAACAAATTAGAGCGGCTCATGAATATGGCCCAAGAAATATTAAATCAGGATGTTGTTCCTATGAATTTTATCCATCGTTACCACTCTCTGTGCCAAATTCTATTCAGTAATTATGATATTATATCTGAGGCAAATAATTTCTTAGCTTTCCTAGATGTTTTTGTTATCCAAAATCCTAACAAGATCATAGGTCACACTGTGTATAGAAAAAAGACCCATACAAACTGATATTTAAGCGGTGAATCTCACCATAATCCTTCACAGTTAGTTACCATGAGCAAATCTTTGTTACAGAGAGCATATGGGATCTGTGAGAACAAGCACCTGGCCGCGGAGCTTCAGCACGTCAAGCAGGTTCTGCACAAAATCAAGCTTCGGGTCCCACGTCTTCGTCACAGTGACCGAGTGAAGCCGACCGCAGTTGAGCGTGTGCCTGCTGTACTACCGTATGTCAAGGGTGTCACCCCAACCAGATAGACATACATCAGATTTGATAGACCACAAATCCTCGTTAAAGAACATTAATTCCTACCAAGGAAGATATGTGAGGCTACTGAAATTAAAAAAACATCCTAATTTCAGTAGAGAAGGCGGTTGGGTACTGCCACCTGTTTGGTACACTATAATTAATAAAATTAAAACAAACCCCAAGCATACCACTGCAAGACTTAAAGATAGAGTAAGTTCAATCTGCGTAGATTGGACTATAAAAATAATAATAAAAAGCTGAAGGTACTCCATGTCCCAATACTGACATTGGGATGGCAGTCACCTCAGTACCCCGTGACCATGGGTGCTATAAAGCAACTGAAACGTCAGGAATTAATAATAATAGTATAATAATAATATAGCCATTTATTTCCGAACTTTGGGGTTACATAATATTTGTGTTTGAGTTCCTATTGTAATACTAGTTAAAGTAAGTCCCTCTGTTCGGTGTGCCTTTTGGCATAGGCCTCCAAAAAGAAAAATCACGCGTCGGGAATTAAAAGTTAAAGAAATTAAAAGCAATAAAATTGGTAAAAGTAGTCGTTAAAAAGCTGTATTTGTGAAAATAAAAGCTTTATATCATAAAAATCCCGACTTTTTTAAACCAATTCCTTAACCATTTCATTATTTTAATTGCATATTATCATTTCCATATGCTTTTATATGTGGGCACCCATGGCCGAAGTGTCTATGAACAGTGGGCATCCCCATCATCATCATCATTACAGCCCTTCACAAGTCCACTGCTGAACATAGGCCTCCCCCAAGTAATGCCACAAAGCACGGTCCTGAGCCACCTGCATCCATCGAGTTCCTGCATGTCTTACCAGGTCGTCACTCCATCTAGTGGGGGGGTCGCCCTACACTACGCCTACCGGTACGAGGCTGCCACTCGAGAACCTTTCTTCCCCATCGGTTATCGGTTCTTCGAGCTATATGGCCGGCCCATTGCCACTTCAGCTTACTAATCCGTTGGGCTATGTCGGTCACTCTGGTTTTACTGCGGATATCCTCATTTCTGAGTCTATCACGCAGAGAAACTCCGAGCATAGCCCTCTCCATAGCTCGCTGAGCGACCTTAAGCGTCCTCATACGGCCAGCAGTGAAGGACCACGTCTCAGATTCGTAAGTCATCACTGGCAACACGCACTGGTTGTACAATCTAGTTTTTAGAGATTGAGGTATACCTGACGAAAAGATATGCCGTAATTTCCCGAACGCTGCCCAGCCGAGTTGAATCCGTCGATTGACCTCTCGGTCGAAGTTGGACTTACCTAGTCGGACTATTTGTCCCAGGTAAACGTATTCGTCAACAACTTCGAGCATAGTGCTCCCAACAACTACCGGCATAGGTGTGACATGGACATTGAACATGACCTTTGTTTTGTCCATGTTCATCTTAAGACCTATCCGTTGGGAGGCACTATTGAGGTCATTGAGCATAGTGCTTAAGTCCTCCAGCGATTCTGCCATAAGGACTATATCGTCGGCAAATCGAAGGTGAGTGATGTACTCGCCATTGATGTCAATACCGTATCCTTTCCAGTCCAGTAGCTTGAAAACGTCTTCCAATGCAGCGGTAAAGAGTTTCGGGGATATAACGTCACCCTGTCTTACACCTCTCTGCAGTTGGATAGGTTTCGAGCTCTGGTTCTGTACTCGGATAGCCATCGTAGCCCTACTGTACAAACACTTCAGCACTTCGATATACCGACAGTCAACTTGGCACCGCTGAAGGGACTGTAGCACCGCCCAAATTTCGACGGAATCAAAGGCTTTCTCATAGTCCACATACGCCAGGCAAAGTGGCAGATTGTACTCTTCAGTCTTCTGTACAATCTGCCGCAGGGTATGTATGTGGTCTATGGTACTGAAGCCTTTTCGGAAACCGGCTTTTTCGGGAGGCTGGAAGTCGTCAAGTCTGCGTGCGAGACGATTCGTAATGACTCTCGAAAACAGCACGTAGACGCGGCTCAGAAGGGAAATCGGTCTGTAGTTCTTTAAGAGAGCGTTGTCGCCTTTCTTAAAGAACAAGACCACCGCACTTCTGCTCCACGCCTCTGGAGTAGTGCCACCATGGAGGACGGAATTGAAGAGCTTCTGAAGGACTTCAAGTACCGGGCATCCCCATTTCTGTACTATTTGCCAAGTTATTCAGCATTTTAGAAACAACGGTGATTTTTACTATCAACACTTAATTGGTTGTTGTTTAATTTAGATATAACGGAATCGTATCTAAGAGCATCTTCGTGATCTAAATTGCCGGTGATTGCTTTAATGACTGATCCTAGGGGATCTATGAGACCTCTTTTAAATCTATTGGATGGTAAAAGATGCTTAATTTTTTCAATAGAAGAAAAGAATAATCAGCTTGGGTTTTCATGGCTTGGAATTCATAACCATAAGGTTTATTTATATCAACTAACCTACTAAAATCTTTAAACTTAATAATATTTAAATCTAAATTTTCCTTAATTCCTAATAAGTTCACTTCTTTAACTATAAGCCACCTGCTTGTTTGCTTAAAAGCTTGGCCTTCTTTTACAGGAAGCAGGACCGGGTTGCTGTCAATTTTTCAAAGTTGAAGACTGCGGGTCCAAAGTATATGAGCCATAGTCAGAATGGCCAAACACCACCTGTGGAGGTCGTTTGAAATTTTTAATAGGGACCTTTGTATCTCGTTCACCTATTTTAACAGGAACGATATTACGTTCTGCAGGACCTTGATCGCTTTCCTGTATCTAGGTTTGTCCTTACTTTTCTTAATATTGATGTCCTTTACGTACGCTATTTGCCCGTCGTTGAGCACTACCTTAAGCTCTCGCATTAGTTCATCGTTAAACTTTTTTCCAGGGTCGCAAGTTATCTTTTTAGGTACACCATAGAATGAAAAGTACTTTATAAGGGCTAGAACTACCTAAGGTGTAGATCTATTTGAGATTTCAAATGCTTGGCCTAATTTACTAAAAGCATCGATTAAGGTAAGAAAATATTTATTTTCTATGGAAAAAAGATCTATGAAAATGTCCTGAAATAGAGAATTCTGGGTCTGTGTTAAATGCAAAACCGGTTTAATTGGTTTTCTATCATATTTTAAAATTTTGCAGATATGACAATTATTAATTACGGCCGAAACTGTTTCCTGCATATTATCCCAAAAGTAGTTCCTACTTGTGCTTACCATGGTTTCCTTTATAACACGGTGACATGTTTTAACCTCGTGATGTTTTAGAATTATTTCTCTCTGTTCGGCCTCGTCTTCAACGTATACGACACGTTCTTCACATACACTCGAAGAATTCTACAGTGCCCTTTTTAAATAGTTCTATGATAATTTTGGAAAATTGTTCTCTATGTGATTCGTCCTCAAAGTAAATGAAGTATTTAATCTTTGTTTTTACATATTCTTTTAAAAATTGTTTAATTAAGTTTTCGTTATTGATAGGTAAGACCGCTTCTAAAATTTTGTGCTTTTCATTTGAAATATCTTTGAATTGCATTTCATTTCTAAACCAAGTGAATATAAGTATTTGATTAGGCTTAGTATCTACAACTTCGCTTAATATGTGTATACCTGTAGATTCTAATTCTAACGCTGAGTGTACTGTTTCTGTGCTAATAGATAGTACGGGATAAGTTTATTCTGTAATATCTATTGGATCAGATGCTGAAAGAGTAGCTGATAGTTCAGACGCAGTTATTGTATCGGAGTTCTCATTTGGTTTATTAAGCTCGGTCAAGCTCTCTACATAGTTTTTAAGGTTTTTGTCTGTATCGTCTATGTTTACTTGCATCGAATCAGTGTCATCGTTGGAATCTAATGCCTTTAGTTTGATACGAGATAGGGTATCAGCGAGGTTCGGGGGTTTTGTTGAGATGTTTATGTGAAAATTTTCAATATTTTCCGTCATCTTAATATTATTCGTATCTGCCACGTTGGTCTAAGTTTCTGCGCTTACAGTTTCTTCGGATTGATATTCGGGGTAATAATAAGAAGCGTCATTAGGATATTGATCGAAATAATATGAGTTTTCGTAGTAATACATGTCGTCGTCGTACAGAGCCGTGGTAGCTCAGATGGTTAACGCTCGCTGTAAATATAACAAAACGCGGGTAACCCGGGTTCGATCCCCGCCGGCACCAAGGAAATTGTTAATTGTAATTTTAATGCTGATTAACCACGCGCTCGGCGATGAAGAAAAACATCGTGAGGAAACCTGCATGTCTGAGGAATAAAAAAAATATTTCGAAGACATGTAAAGTTTGCCAACACGCATTGGGGCAGCGCGGCGGACACTTCGTTGCCCTAAAACCCTCCCAGAAATGAGGGGAGGCCTGTGCTCAGCAGTGGGACGTATATAGGCTGTAACTTTACTTTACTTTACTTACTTTAATATCAGGAATTTTTTACATGTCGTCATTATAATAATTCTCGTTTAATTCTAATTCATTTAACCTAAAACCTTGCTGCGGTCGTGCTACTGGTGCTGTGCGCACTGACACATCTGTATTAATTCGCGGTTGGTTATGCTGAGGGGCATTATTATTATTGCTGTATCGCTGTTGCATACCAAACTGTTGAGGACGCATCGAAGGTAAAGGCTTACAGGTCTGTAGCCAAATTGAGGTGGACGATATCCGAATTGCATTTGGTTGTTATTAGGTTGTGGTGGTCGATATTTTTTTTCCGAAATTGTAAAATTGTCGCTGCAGACCTTGAGTGGGAAGCGGCATCTGAACCTGCTTATTCGGTGGGATGCCAAAATTATATCTAGGTGGTTGGTTAATTTGCATGGGCTTAACACTAGAAAAATGTTGAGGTTGAGTGTTATTATTACCGAATTTAAATGATGGCGATGCGTTATGCGATTGTGAATAAGATGCGAGATAAGATCCCGACATTTTGTTTCTCATTTGGTACTGACTATGGAAGTTAACTTCTTCTAATACAGTGGAGAGGGCATCCTTTTATGAATTTGAGGCCTTGAGACGCACTACTCGAACTAAATGTTCCGGTAAATTGTACAGGAAAACGTTTAATGATGTATTTTCATAAATAGCCTTTTTACTACAGCGCATATTTGAGTCCGACAACCGATTAACTTTACCTATTAAAATTGATCTCATAGATTGAATTCGACAGCAAAAATCAAAAAAACTTTCTCCGAGTTTAATTTTTAAGGTCTCAAGTTCGATATGTAAACACTCCTCACTTCGCGAGTCTCCAAAATGCTGAACTATTGGGTGCGTTTGGCAGAATAAAGCGCTAGCAAGCGCTTGTAAGCAAAATGGCGATCGTAAGCGGTAAGCGCTGTCAAATCGTAAGTAGCTATTTTCCTCCAGGACACGATGTTAGTTTTAACCGGGGGAACTAACCTAATTTAAATATATGTTTGTAAAGTATTCATATTAAAAACTTACCAATCATGAATTTTTAATAACATGTATATGTTTATTCACGTCATTATATTACTTAAAACTAATATTGCACAAAACAACTTATAACTTAAATACTTCAAAACAAACAAATTAAATAAGCAAAATGGCGGATTGTGTCAGCGCTACCGAAGTAGCAATCGTGTCCTGGCCGAAAACTATTTCAGCGCTTATAAGCGCTTGCTAGCGCTTTTTTCTGCCAAACGTACACATTAATTGCTTAAACTCATCCCACGTTTCGATATCATCGCGCTCACTGACTAATGAAGCTGCATTGCCGATAAGGCTGCTTGTTATTCTATTCATCACGTGTAAATTCTGTTCCGTCGTGCCATTAAATTTAGCTAAAACATATTCACACATTCTTAAAAATAGATTTAATGACGTTTATCTCCATCAAACGTAGGGATGATTTTGATCATTTCACTAGGAATAAGTCTGATATTCTCCAGAATTATGTATTAATTTACACACACAAACAATAAAAATAAAATAAAATGTAAAAGAAATCTAAATATCACACAAAATTATTAAGAAAAATGTATATGCTTAATAAAACTATTTCTTCGTAGAACTATAATTTGTATATAATTTGTAAATGAAAATATGTAAAACTTAAATTATTTATTACATACTATTATTTATTTAATTTTTAAACTATTTAACCAGAATACGTTAAAATGAGAGAAGTTCGATCTCAAGATAACAGAACATCGAGGTAGTGGAAATGATGATGGTGAAAAGTTCTACTCACCAGCCACCAGCTGCTCTCATGGTTCAGGATCAGCTCCGCGTCCTTGACAAATTTCTTTGGTTCGAGGATCGTCTCGGTTTTTCTTCGCGTCATGGACCTCCGATTACAACAGAGTTTTATATCGAATTCGCGAAGGACGCAGCACTACTGAAGTGTGACGATCCTACCGGCTGCGCCAGTCAAGATTACGGGAACGTAAAATGATTTTTTAGAAACTATTTATTTCTAATTACAATTATAACTATAACTACTTAATTAATACGTCTTGACAGAAGTCGATGTCAAAACGAAGTGGTCGCTCCCATGAGCTCCGCCTGATACCGTAGTAATTCATGCAACCAAAAGCGCTGACTCTACAGTTACTGGATACTATCTAATGCTTATGCAGCCCCCTCTAAGTACGAACCGTAACAACCCTTTGGTCTTGTGGTTGCATAACTACTTTGTTAACAAGAGACTTGTGGACAATAAATCTGACATCTCCTTGTGACAGATGGTCGCCCTTCGGTTATAGAACAATTTGCGAAAATAAATCGAAAAACGAATTTACTAACAAAACGGATTCGAGCATTACCGTGTCCTCCCCCTATTTTCGGACCTCGCATAATCTTATAATGTTTCAGCGCAACTTGTTCATCTCTTCTTCCAGCACCAGGAACTTCTCGTCAGTCTTCATGATGTGTGCGTTGTATGTTGCCAGAATTCTCAGCACCCTCTGCCTCGCTGTTACCAAGGGCTGGGGGCCGTTTCTTTCTGTAATTGAACATAAGGGGTAGTTTGCCATAGTTACTACGCTTGACAGGTGGATAGATTAATGCAGTTGTGTTTTTTTTGTAGATGCAGTTATTTTTTTTATTTGGTTTGAAAGACACTGCTGCCCGTCTCTTGATCTGTTTCCCTCTATTCGACACTGACGGGACTCTGTAAGGTAGTGCATATTCTTACATCACCACAACACAGTGAGTTGGTAATTGAGGCAATAATAGAAATTTATTCAATTTCTTTTATTTATACTTTTACTGAAGGAAGTTTTACGGAATCATCATTAATTGTGCATGTTATGCGTAACAGTAGTATTTGGATATTCATGTATTCCATCCATTACAGACCATAAAATTCCACTGCTCAACATAGGCTTTCCCCAAAGAATGACTCATAGGGGGTATTTCGCAATAGTTGCCACGCTCGGCAAGCGGGTTGGCAACCGCAATTTTTTGTAATTTCGTTTGGTTGTTATGCTTTTTTTTACATGGAGAAATGCCTACGCATACCCGCCTCGCGGGGGCAAGGACGGGTTATGTCGGACTCGCACCGACTAAAACCCCATGGTGTTCCACCTTCTTCGCATATTGGCAGGGCTACGGGAACGCTTTCGCACACTTCCGCGGCCCTACCAGCGACTGCCGCCCCATGGCAGCACCTCCTCGGGAGAGGAATATTCCTCCCCGTTCTCCTTCCCAAGTAAGGCGCACCAGAACACATGGCACGCCTTCCTCCACGGCCTCCAATTGCATCTACGCAACAGACGCCCCCGCGTCCGATGCGCGAAGGCCATGGGGCCAGGAAAAACGAGCACTTAGAAGTACTAGCCTTCCCGACCCCAGCGGTGGATCTGGTCTATGGCTCCGCCGCCAACCAAGATTCGGCTGCGGAGGATAGGGAGAGCGGCGCCTCGCAATACCGACAATCCTCTCCCCCCGCAGCCCCATCACTACCGCATCAACGGTGCGGCCCCGTTTGAGTCGCGGAGGATAGGGCGAGTGGCGCATCGCCATAACAACACTCCTCTTCCTCCGCGACTCCACCTCGGCTGCAGCGGTAGAGGATGCGGAGTCCCCACTCGCTGCAGTCCACCAGCACACATCCGAAGTGGGCTCCCCCACTCAGAGTGGCCACCTCAGGCCGGCCCTTCACCTCGGGCCAGCCACGTGGGTTCCTCTTTGTTCACCGTGGGAGACCAAGCCACGGCTACTAAGCCCCCCGCCACGACAAGGCGGGAACCCGTTCGGGGGGTTCGTTGTTATGCTGCCGCCCATCTCGTGTTTGTTTCCTTCTTTCGCCTCTTACGACACTCACTGGGCGATATGGGGTAATGGATGTTCTTACACCACTACTACACGATGAGTATTTGTGTACAGTAAGATGTATAATTATAAATATAAGCAATTAAATAAGTGCACGGTCTACGTTAGCTTCTGAACTTCCCCGGAAAACTTTTTCAATAAAGCTATTCTCACGAACTTGTTCGTTTAACGGAAGTCAATAAAGTAGTTACGTAAAACCCCATTCAACTATATCGAATTTTAAAAATATTTCCCTTTTTTATTTCTTCTAGCTAAAACGCAGCCACAAAATTTACATAAACATAAATATAAGGGCACATAACGCAAGCTCAGGATTGTTATTTCTGGCTGTATGGCTTTTTGCCTCCACCGAAATTCCTTATTATTAGTTTCCACGGGAAAGTTTTCGGACGATCTCGAGTCCGATACGTGGAAGCCATGGGGCCAAGAAAACACGAGCACTCAGGATGTAGCTGAAATCGGGACCTAATTTAACTCCACTCAATTATACTCTTATAATATATTGATATTTCACTCATTTATACTCTTATAATATTTTGTCATGATTTCTAAAGCAAAGTTTGCTTTCTGTATTTGACTCATTCATTCATTTTTTTAATTCACTTATAAGGTAGTACATGTTTCATAAAAGATTTGC